CATTAATATTTTTTTATCGGCTCCCTTGCTGCGAGACTGTAAATGAGAGCAGTTTTTATTCAAACATTATGGAAATGTATTAAAACATTCTACTAAATTATGCCTAGGCTTAGAATTTCCAGAAAGGTTCGCATATTGCTCATTAATTCTCTTTAACTAAGTCATCCATGAGTGATTAGGTAATCTTTCAATAACAAGATTTGTTTCAGTGTCTCGACTGCCCAATACTGACGACTTTATCAGGACGTGTTTTCTGTCAGGTAAGTTTTCTCGTCGTGAAGGTGATAGTGGCACAAGACGGTTTGAGAACCCTGGACATTTCGACATTTAAGTCTTCGCGACCGCGGGTTTGAGTCCCCCGAAGGACATATTTATGGTATATATCTGACGTTTCTCTGTGTAGGTATGCCAGAGGTCTTCCGGTATGACGATTTCTCGTCAGGTGAGGCTTCCTAAACGTAAAGGGTTATGAATGGGACAGGCCATTGGTCACAGTTATTTAATCCTGAATAAAAATTGTTCAACTCAACGCCAGTAACGAACATGAAGCTAAGCATAAAGTCAAGAATATATTTTACAAATGGGAAACTTCATTGTTTGATAGCGGAGTATCCGCACAGCAATTTCCTCTGAACTGTTAGCTTTATTCTGAATAAACACTACCTACCGAAGTCTGCTAATACAAATATTTACTTTCGGGATTTTAGTCTCTGAGTTGATTTACGAAAGCGTTTTTAACCGGGCCTTAAATAAAGTTTAATGCGTTGCTTTTATCATGTTTCCAGTACCGCCCAGATTCTTTTTTCCCCGCGTACAGTGACCTTTAACTCTTGCCATTTTACAGCCTAATTTAGAATTTATAACCACATCGCCTGTCAAGCTATCACTAAACGACTGTTCAATAGAATCACTGAGACATGTTTCGAGCCTCAGAACTAGCCATCGTTGGGTGGATATGGTTAGATAATTAACAGATGTTTTCATTGTTTAACGTAGCTCAGTCAGGAAAGTGATTGGCTATTGTCAGGAAGACCGGAGTTCATTCCACTCCGCAGAGAAAGGTATTTTTGGTCTACTTAATCGGTAGTTATAAATTTCTTCGTTTGTCACGTGTGCATAAAGCAAGCAGGAGTTTTGATGCCCGGAAGATTGACAGAAAGTGCGTACAGCCGGAATGCATGTATGTAAACCCATGCTTCAAATGAGAGTGCCAGGAGGACTGGATGACAGCTCAATGATACCATGCATGTGTAATGAACACATTTGTTTGTCCTTCAAAGATGGCGTCATCGCATTCCACAAAAGAAGAGCGTACGACCGTGATCATAAATATGTAACAGTGTGAGGGGGAGGGAGGTGTTGGACGTTTAGCATGAAATTCCTGTATCGCCATGTTGTTTATGATAATTTCGTTATGAACAGAAGAGCACGTGTTGCCCTACTTTCGAGGTGGCGTGGTCTCGATGCAGCGTAGGAAACCCTGCAAGTCCTCGTTATTCGTCAAACTTTGAATCCGTCGAATTTTAGTCATCAGACATTCGTAAATATTACGTAAGAGTGTGGAATCGCGACCTGATCTTAGGTCTATTGGCAGCACTCCATTTATTTCAGAAGCCAATAGTACATTGAAGATATTTTGCATTATTTATTTACTTTTGCGATGCAATCAGCTGCCATGTCTGCGCAGTGAGTGAAGAAAGTTAAGAGACCAATAGTCACGAGTTCGGAAACGCGAACAGAATGAGAAATGTGGAAATTGATCTTTGCTGCTACAAGAAGTCCTCATTGAAATGAAGAAGGCTTGAATCCAACCACCTCTGGATTTTTTTTTCCAGTTGTAATAAGACGGGTGATTCACATCCTTTACGTTCGGCTCTATTGAACACAAATTAGTTTCTAGATGTAATTAAGCTAAGGGTATATTCACGATTATGATCCCATGAGTTTGGACGAAAAGAATCCGAGAAGGGGGCAGGTTTACCTACTTCTCTTTCCGGTATTAACGCGTTGAAGTCGAAACGTTAACGATTTAGTCCGGACCGCGTAGAAAACAACACGTTACCATTACAAACATGAGTGGTTAACATTATTTAGGGAAATAATAGCTGTTTACACTGAGAATCGTACGATTTAGTCCGGACCGCGTAGAAAACAATACGTTACCATTACAAACATGAGTGGTTAACATTATTTAGGAAAATAATAGCTGTTTACACTGTGAATAAGAGTTGTTAATTGTGGAAGGTGGTGGTATATTTAGTTACCATCGGGTTTTAAAGTGGTTAATGCAGTGTCTTGTAGCGCCCCGCCACTGCTGCAGGGTGTGGTCTGCTATGGGTGTGATAGTCTATGTGTAACAATAGATCCAGTCCACATATTAACATTCATCTTTGGGAGGGCCGAATAATAGCAGCACAAGTGTGGTATCATTACCACATGAACGTTCACGGAAGAAGCTATACCATATCCCAGCCGAGATGATTGGCAGTCAAAACAAATTCGCCTCTCCACCCATTCCTTTTGAAACACGTGAGGGAATTGTTACTACCTGTCTTGAAAACATTTTCTGCCATCGTTCTGATACTTTTTCTATTACTTAAATGTTGTCTGGTTACTACACCCTGTAAGTATGCAGACATTTATTCTAAGTAGTCACGAACAAATAAACACTTACTTTAAGAAAAATGTGAGTTGACAGAAATTACTACTACGAGACACACAGCAAATAAAAAAAAAAATGTTTTCTTCATGGGTAGGCCGTGAACTGGCTCGGCGATTGTACTCCAGGACTCGATGTTTCTGGCGATAATACAAGGCAATTATTCTGTTTATTTTTCTTATTTACAGAGTCTTCGTACTTTTTCTCAGTCCTTCTATTCAGATGCCGGGACAGTACCACGTGCAGGGTGTTCGGAAAGCCACGCACTCCATTTTGACACGTGTTACTGTTTGTCAAAATATAAAGAACATTGAACTGTTAGAAATGTCCACCGCGTTCAGCGATGCGTCCATTCACCACGGTTTAAATTTCTGCTAGAAAACTGACTGGCCAGACTGAAAAACTCTTGATGTTTTTACTCAGTCACTTCAGACGGATGCTGGGATAGTAAGTCCAAACCAGGCCCTCTTCTGTATCCTCAGTTCATCCTGTCATCGCTTGACCTACTGAATTCGCTGTTAAGTAATAACTAAGTGATCACGTTTAATTCTGGAAAATTTTTTGCGCCTTTCTTTGTTCGTGGTTCTACTTTTTCTTGGTTTGTTTCTTAGTTCGCTGTTCGTTTCTTGTTTCCGACAGCTGTTTTGTCCTTCTCCCTTCTTTGTTCCTAAGCAGTTCCCCTTGACTGGAGTCGACCATAAGGCGCTGCCGAGTGTCATCCAGCCGTTGAACTGTGCTGAAGTGCGTCCCTGCCGTGACAAATCCGCTGCCCCTTTCGTGCTTATTGTTTGTCTAGTATTTATTCTACCACCACTCAGTCGCCACGTCCCATTGTAAAAAGCAGTGACAACATGCACATTATTTACAAATGCCAGACGTTAGTTACTCAATTGCGATGGCAACCTCTTATTGTTCATGAATTACGTTGGTCCTCATAGACCCTTTCACTTTTTCATTGTCGTTTAAACCCTTGAACAATTAAAAGACCGTGACTAAAAGACACTCGCATGCAGGGATGTCAAAAATTGGAAAACTTTCTCGACTACAAATCAGAATGGAACGGATCATGTTTCTATTTGAGTGGTATTCGGCTTGGGGTACGCGTACCCACGGGGGTACGCGAAGACATCTTAGGGGGTACGTGAAATTTAAAAAAAAATATATATTATTTTATGATAAACACTGAATAATCAGTAATGTAATTAATTTAATTTATTTTAGATGTAGATTATACACCAACAACTTTGGGGGTACAAAGTTGAAGAGAAATTGTATCTGGGGGTACGCGAACAAAAAATGTTGAATACCACTGGTCTATTTCACAGGCAACGTTCGCTGGTTGTCATTTCATTGTGAATCTTGAAATTGTATTATTTTATATAATTAGACAAGGATAAGTAATGTATGTTACACTATTCAATAAAAATTTGTTAAATATTACTTTAGATTCCCCGTCGTTGTTGACGGGAAGTTTCATAGTTTATGTGATGTAACGTTGTTGATGTACTTACGGAATGAGAAGGGCCCCGATGATGGAAGCAGTAAGCACGCCCGAAACGTAGGCGACTTTATGCGAGATTACACCGCGCAGTGCCCTAACAGACATCTTCTTACTCGCTGCCGGGAGAACCGGAAATCCCAGTTTTTAATTTTATATTTTCAAAATGAATAATGACGACTCTAGAAATTGGAACACGGCATTGCTTTCTGTTTCTAGCGTAGTGGCGAGTGGCTTCTGGCACGTGTCCACAGTCTAATTGAGACATACACACGCCTAGCTGTTTTGAGTCATGCGAAGTGACATTTCGACTTTTGAAGCCTCGTGTCGCTGCGGATATAAGGCGTCAGCTGGCCGGCCGTGAAGTGAAAATAGCTGCATACAGTTCGGTGTTTTGATGGTGGAATTCTCTGTTTCCGTGAATAATGTTTGCTGGAGTGAAAAGGTCACTTTCTTCTAAAATAGATTTTGTGACGCGCTAAATAAGACACAGAGCACTGCTCTCACAATGCCAAATCGAATATTGTGGAAACGTGTTGTGTATGTTTATATATTTATTTTATTATTTATCATTTTTTTCACTTGTAGGTTTTTCTTCGTCCCTGTGAATTATATATAAGTCATCACAAGACAGTTTAGTAGTAATGAGTGATAAGTGACAAGCGTGACAAACAAAACATTAAGATTAAAACATAGCCCTGATGATGGAGGCAGCAAACAAGTCCGAAACGCCTGTAAACTTCTACCAGACTACACGGCGCTACATCCCAGAAGGCAGTCATCTGCGTACTGGAAGCCGTGAGAACCTGAAATCTCACCTGATAATAATTTTTTGTGTTCCAGAAATCGCCAAGGTCCGGTCGAGTCTGTTCCAGATAAATGGCACGAAGAAGGAACCTCTCGTGCTGCCCGATGCTGAGGGGACTACCACAACACTCACAGAAAAAGTTTACGTGCCCGTCAAAGAGCATCCAGATGTGAGTAGCGTTACGTTGGTCATTGTTCTGAGTGTGGTTGGCACCCCTTTGCTGTTCGTTTTGACAGCAGCTGATGTTACCTTCCGCATTTAAATTCAAAATAATTTGCATTGTGATCTGTGCTGGCGTCGCGATTTCATGATTCCTACCTCGCCCACCTGTGACGTAGATAGACAGCCAGCACTAATTTATTTCCCACTTAATGCCACCAGATGGAAAAAGTGAGAAATCCTACCGAATTTTGATCGGGGATGTCGGGAGGGGGGGGAGGCTTTTGTAGGTGAGATTTCATGTGCATGGGGGTGGCGAATGTCTCCTGGGATGTTGAACCGTGTAGTCAAGTTTACTGACGGGATAACTCTTCGCCTCGAAGATGGAAGCAGTAAGTACCTCTGTAACATCGGCAAACTTCCCAGAAGACTGTCATAATCGAGGATTTTTCCCTCCATTGCAGCGTCCAGACCGACTCTGGGGTTCACCCATCGTCTCGTATGACAGATGCCAGGGTTGTACAAATTGTGAAGCGCTAATGTAGTTTTCTCCAGCCTCCTGGAACTTCATCCGTTCCGGATTCAAATATTCTCGTATTCAGTGTGTGTCGATACCGTTAGATAGCGTGATGACCGTGTGTTGAATATTGTTGATAAAGAAGAGTTTACTTACATGAAATCCTCTTGTGTTCTTTGTTTTATAATTCGCAAACGTGACGTCACGTTTATTTAAAACCGAAAGTTCTTTAACTTGCGGCCGGAATCTGATGAAATTGTGGAGAAAAACATCCGAGAATTGTTTCTGCGTAATTTTAGCGTTCACGTGGTGGAGGCGTGAATCTTGACAGCTTGTTAGTACTTCGTTTTCAGAGAGATGTTCAAGTGTATCTGTAGTTTTGTAATATTTTTTAACTATGTTTGTTTTAGTCTGCTCTGTATTTATCAGCATTGTACGAGTATGTATGTCCGTCAACTGTAGGCCTACCAGTTATAATTGATACTGAGTCTTAATTGGGATGGGGCGCGTTACAGCGTAGGTTGTGATTTCAAATGTTCCTTCTCTTACCATGTTGGTACTTCTTCCAGGACTTAGAAAGTTGTTACATTAATAGAAGTTCAGAATCAGTGCAGTTAGGCATCTGAAATTTGGCGTGAATGTAAATCATCAAGACGATGGAGGCAGTATGACCTCTGAAATGTCGGTAAACGTCTACCAGACTGCACGGCGCAACAACCCAGAAGACAACCCTCTTCAC